TTGATTCGGAATATTTAAAAAAATTTTAACACCGCGGACATATGTGGATGTACAAGTAGGTGTTTTTGTATTTTTTTAAAGAAAAGCAAAAAAAAAACAAAAAAAAACAATACTTTTCTCTTCATTTACATTCTCTTGTTTTAAATAAAACACTTTGGAATCGGGAAGCAAAAAATAATATACTTACCTCCTTAATTTTTAACCAATAAAAATTTATGAAATATTATCGCGAAAACATCTCTGCATTTTAGTTTTATAAATATAAGGGAAAGTATGATTGTATTGTTATTATCACATTCTTAAAAAAAATATTCTATTAGCAGAACAATCTGCTCAAAATACAACATTACTTACCTAAGTCAGATAATAATAATTAATAGTAATGCGAATTACTTCATTTAGATGATACGTTTGTTAACAAAAGAAGTCAATAATTAATATTCATTTTTATGCAAATTTCTTTATTTAGATGATAATACCAGAAAGTTTGTTAATAAAAGAAGAAAATTTTTAAGATGAGGAAGAGAGTATATACAATTTTAAACTTATATAAAATTACTAACACTCATCTTTATGACATCTTTATGAAATCTCCTTTTTTCCCTAAAAATGTTAATCCCACCACCATTACCTCCACCTCCACCACTGGTATACCTTATACATGCTGTCAAAAATAAAAAGCTTTTGACTCAATTCTAATTTTTTCAATTTTTAATTGTCTGACTCAATAATTGCATCAATTTACTATGTAAAAATGAAATTTTGATGACATGTATAATGTACCTGCTGCCCAGATTATTCAAATTCAAAATCCCAAATTTCTATTAAATTATATAGTGCAAAATCCCAAATCCCAAATTATTTTATTATGCCAAAAATAATTTAGACAACAGGTACCACCATTCATAAGCTCTTCAATTTCAAATGCTCAGAACTTAAGACTTTACTGGAACACTCAAGCAGTGGTCTTGTCTCAGAAATTATTGATCATCACTTTGCCTTCAACCTCTTGAACATATCTTCTCTTCACATTTCACAAAGTTCTTAGTTCTCTTCAATAATGAGACCTCTGATGAGCAGGATATTTTTACCATTAACACTGTCTTCACCTGTAGAATGCAAAGATGGCGAGCAACTAAATTCAGAAACAAGTATAGGAATCAAAAAAGTGTAAAAAAAGGAATAGCAAGTTTACAACAAACATCAGAAAACAGAAGACACACTCAATTATAAACTATTAATTACAATATATCTTAGAAACAACTTTTGAAGTGATGATAAGACAGGTTTGCTTTTGATATATACATGTTACCCAATTCATTTTTCAAAATCTGAAATTCTGAATTACTATTAAATTAGTATAGTAACAAATCCCAAATTATTTTATCATGCCAAAATTAATTTGTACAACATATAACATATATAGTAATAGTATGAAAGAAAACAAGATGATACTATAGAAAAAATATGGTTAAAGCCTATGCCTATTCAATAAAATATCTTCTTTTTAATGATGGTTCTGCTATTTGAATGAACAAGAATTTGCAAAGCTGTCATTCATTTGAATATGCTTTTACAAAGTTGTTTAGGTTTAGCTTCTGTCAATATTATAGATAAAACAATTGATCAAATACTAAATTGCACAAGATAAAATCATTAAATGTAATGTACAACAATAACAAGATGCATTAATACATTATCTTTCCTTTCAATTACAGAAGAAATTACATCACATTATTACAATTTATATCTAGAATTTTAATAAATCTTGTTGGAATCATTTTTATATTTCTTATAAAGATACTTTTTATAATTATTTACAGGAATTACTACATTTTAATTTAATTATATCATATTTCAAAATTGATTACATCCTTTTTTTTTGAATTATGGCAGGTACTAGAACTATTCACATAAGATTACATGTAATAGAAAACTTATTTATTCTCAAAAAATTTATGAAATATAAAAAGAGCTTCACAAAATTTGACTCTATTAATCTTGATATATGTATCTTTTACATGATACTCATTACTAAAGGTATAGTCAAAATTGGAGAATATGATACAGAATAAATTGTTAGCCTGTGCAAATATATGGATGACCTTAGTGTTAACCTCCAATTTAAATGAATTGGAATTTCATATAAAATTTAATATATGGATTACAATTCATTGTGTTTTTTTAATAGTATGCAAATAATATGCAAGTTAATGAGTCAACCCATTTGGAGCTCTACTGTATCAAACATGATAAATCATAAAATCATAAGGCAATAAATATTACATGAAATACTGTTCAGAAAATGCTCTGTTGACATCTAATCTTCAAGGTCAAAGAATTAGAAATCCTCATTATTATCCAGAATGAAGTCTATACCTTCAAGACAAGTAGCTGGTGTGGAAACATTCAAAATGTGATGGCCTGAGATGTACAACTGTCAGAATGTAGAGATGAAAATGGGGCTCAAGAAATCTTTCTCTGGACATTCCTTGATAGAGCCTTGATTCTCTCTGGAGATCATGAGGGATAATCATACTTAACAATGCTCAATATTTCCTATTATTGATGTATTACAACCCATCCGAGGTATAGAATTTTTAGAATGTCTAAACCAGAATTTATTCATTTTAGTATATTTTAAATTTAATTTAAATTTAGTATTAAATTTAATTTAAATTTAGTATTAAATTTATTTTTATTATAATCTCTATACATGGGTTACTAATTTAAATTTATGTAAATCATTTCTTTTGGTTAAGGTGCATCTTTCTTTAGAACATTGGTCTTTTGTTATACGAAAAAATAATTATTGCTCTATTAACTAATCAACCAAATATTCCAACGAAGAATATTATATACAGTATTGCATAATATTAAATAATATTAATTAATCATATGAAAATAAAGATAAACCATAAATATATTAAAAGAATAATTGCAAAAGAAATGTCTATTATGTGTCAATGAAAAGGTTCATGCAAAGCCGCCATGTTAATTTATTAACAAACAATTTCCCCACACATTCTTTTCAAGAATTGAATCTGTCTTTACATATTTTTTATGACATTGCATACATTAATAACTTTTTTCTTTCATTTTCCTTTTATCGGCATATTTCATCAGGTACCCTAATGATAATATATCTACATATATATATGTATTTATATTTATATTCATATTCATATATATTTGTATATTTGGCACAAATACTTATAAGTGTACAACCACGAGGAAAAGAAAGTAAAAAATGAAAGCGAAAAAAAAATTAAATAAATTAATTTTAAAACATGAAAAAAATAGCACACAAGTAAAAAGTAACATATATAACACAACATAAAAAAAAAATAAGTTTTTTTTTTTTTTTTTTTTTGCAGAAAAGATGGTTTTGGAAAACTATTGAAAATTTTACCAATTATGGAAATTTTAAATGGTAATATCGAGGATATCCATCTTGGGATAACAAAATATCCATAAATTGACTAATACATTATTTTTTTATATTTATTGTTAATTTTTTTTTTTAGTAGTATGATTGTTTTTGCAGGGCCAGTAAAAATGTTATTATATTTTTATTATTATTATTAATTATAATTATTATTATTATTATTATTATTATTAATTATAATTATTATTATTATTATTATTATTATTATTATTAATTATAATTATTATTATTATCATTTTCTTAAATATGATTGATCGATGGTAAAACTTATTTATGATAAACATCTAGCTAACTATACTTTGAGATTATACGAAATTATAGAACGATTACATTTCTTTATTTCTTTTAAAAGTTATTATAAATTGAATCCAAAATTAATATAAATACATGCACTCCTTGCTTTATATCCTTGCTTCAGAGTTTCATGTCAAACTGAATTTCGTTCACGTAGAAATAACGAACCATTTTACATCGTTAAGTGATTCAATTAAGTGAATGTTATTAACGTTCCTCAATATCTAAATAATAATAAAATATTAGTGAAAATTTTTTATTAACGAAATTTGTACAACATGATTAAAAGGCAACTCTTGTCTTCCTTTATTAAATAGAACTCTATAAACATTTTATTGGTTTTATAAACAATGTAATTAAATTAAATAATTAAATATACACGTTTTATGCTTTATTTAAATTTATAGTTTTAAAAAATGATCTTAAATAGATATAAAATAAGATTGAATGCTAATATAAACTTTAATTTATGATAAACTCCGAATAAAATAAGTATCTATCTTCTTTTGATAGAAGTGCCCCAATAAAATTATATAAACATGCAATATCATTAATTAAAACTTGATTAGAGAATAATTTTAATTTAACAATGAAAAATTGTTATTTACAACTCCAAATATTAAATTTAAATTAAAAAATTATATAATACGCTGTATATTTAATTTATATCCCATTTATATCACATTAATAGTAAATAAAGATAAAAAAAAAAGTAACACAACATATTATTTTAATGTGATTGTAATTTAAAAATTTCTTTTTGAAGAAATCACTTATTAATTAATTATGTACATTATTATAAAAATATTTTTTTTGTGGTAAAATTACACTGCATAAAATAAATATTATTGAAGAGAAAGTAAAAAATGTATATAAGCAACTCTTTGACCGCATTCGTGAAAAAAATACTTTAACACTCTCCCCTTCTATCTTTAAAGTTAATAAATTTCAAGTCTGTTAGAAGCTCTCGGAATTTTGCAAAAGGGCAAAATAATATTAATCCGGAATTGGGATTTCCCAATGAACGAAAGTTCAAATCATTGGTCTTTATCAAAGAAATTTAAATTCCATCCTTTTTTATCATTGATTTTTTTTTGCCACCAAGCATAATCATTATATTTGGCATAACCCCCTTCTGTTGGTCATTGTAAAAAAGTAGTGCCGTATGTGTCCATTCATTATTAATAATTATAAAAAAAATCTTTGATATCAAATAATCCAAGCAAATAATCCAAAGCTTTTTTTTTGGTATATTAAAATGGATAATAATCAAAAGGGTTCGCGTTCTTGGAAAATCATCCAAGGAAGCATTCCCAATTCTGAAGAATCTCCTTCCATCTTCCCTTTTCCCCCCTCATTTCAAACTTCTGTTTCGAAAACAGAATCTAAATCGTCACAATCTGCTTTACAACAACAAGAAACAATAAAGCAGAAAGTTCCTTTTACATTAAAATACCAACTGCATTTTCGAAAGAATAATCAACATTCGCCTATTGATGTTTCTACTCCCCAAACAACCCCTGGCGGTACTCATAATAGCGGACTACTACAAGAACTGACTTTCGAACAAGGAAAAGGCCAATTTTTATGGGCTTCTGACGGCTATCATGGGGTATTTATTATTATTATTTTTTTTTTTTTAATAAAAAGTTAAATTTTTGTAATAAATAATATAAATGAAATAAATAAATGTAAATATAATATATAATAACCTTTTTTTTTTTTGACTTTTCAAAAACAATTTTATTATTATTAGAATAAGAAACGCCGAATTAATGGTAATTCATCTCCTGCATCTCCAAAACCTTATGACACCAAGGTGCCTCGCCCACCCAACGCATTCATTATATATCATAGAACTAAATCTAAAGAACTAGCCAAATTCAAGACTAAAGTACGAAATGATGAACGTCACCCATCGAAGACAGTGGCAGAAATGTGGCGAGAAGAGCCTGAGGAGATTAAATTAAAATATCAACGAGAAGCGGACCTGGCATTAGTGGAACATAAAAAAAAATACCCCTATTATAAATATAGACCAAAAAAAAAAGATAGTAAGAGTAGAGGAAATTTAACTCCATCATCAGTAGATTCAGTTAGAATTTTAGATTTTGATGATTCAAAGGAAGATTCACAAGTACCTATAGAACATAGAAAACAGGCATCCATGGAATCTGCCTTTACAGTATTTGAACTTCATACATCCTCTTTAAATGATCAGCAGCGAGAAGAGAAAGAGAAGGAAGAACCAACAACAGCCATGTCTAATAATGCTACGACCAATAATAATATCATGAATACATTCTTGACAAATTCTCCTCCCCAAACTCCTCCAATATGGACTGAAGATGCGAGACCAAATTTTGGTAGCTCAGTTAATGAACAAATTCAATTATCCTACACTCCTTTACCAGAACAACAACAACCATCACAACAACCGCAACAACAATGTCCAAATTGTAGTTGTAGTGCTCATCAAGTACAACAAGTACAAAAACCTTGGGTTCAACCACCTTCTCCTCTTTCCCAAATTTCGTCAATAACTGCATCAGAAAATTCTACTACAGATTTACAAGATGCCTTGTCTTTGATTACTTCTGAAGAAGAGTGGAACGCATTTTCACTTATATTTCAGAACTCATATCAACCTAATATGATGTCACCATTAGGATTAATGTCAATAGAAAATATAGATAATTCAATGAATTCGTCTTTTCCAACTGCAACATTGGACGAGACAAATTTTACAAATTTACATAATCAATTTAATAATAATCTTAATAATCTTAATAATCTTAATAATTTACAATTAATTTCAAATGCCGTAACGGATATTATTCCATTTCCAATTGATTCAAATGAGACGACAATAGAAAATATTAATGAGTGGGGAGCTTCAATTGAAGAATTTGCTAGATATATTGTACCTACTCAAAATTCATCAACACTGCATCCTTCTTCTTTACCGCATGCCCCACCACCTACACCAACAAGTCCAATGAATTTTATTCCTTGGGCAATGTCGTTAGATTCTTTTGCTGATACAACATCAACAATTGAAAATAATATTCGTTTGCAACAACAAATTTCTTCACAATTTCAACAAAACCACAATAATAATAATAATAATAATTAATAATGTTTATTAGAACATTTTAAAGATTTTTAAATTATTTTATTCAATAATTAATTTGATAATTAGATTGATAATTAAATAATAATTCAAACAATAATTTAAACAATAATTCAAACGATAATTCAATAACTCCCTTTTTTTTTAATTTTTCTTCACCATAAAACGATGAAAAAAACGATTTTTTTCACATTTAATATGTATTTGCATATAAATTATATAGTAAATTGTATAAAAAAAAAAGATAAAAAGATAATAAGTTTATAAATATAAAAAAAAAAAAGAGAAAAGGATTTCAAGATGTAAAATAATTCATAGGTAGTTAATGTATATTTATTTTTTTAAAGACATTTTTATTTATTCATTCATTTCAACTTTCTGAACTGTCTATAAATTATATTATTTCTTTTATTATTTCTGATATTTTCATACTAATTTTTTTTTGTCAGAAATTGGTATTTCTTTTTCTTCACGCTTTTTTTTTAAATAATGTAGTATAAAATTTTTGTATTAATTAAATGTAATAAAAAAAAAATAAATAAATAAATTTCAGAAAATCCTTGTAGTTTGTCAACGAAAAATTTTTTTGTTTCGAGGTGACACCGATTTTATTGGTTATATAGTTTATAATAAACATATACAATAACCACAAAAAATCACAACGACGAGCGAACATAACTAAAATTAGTGAACCGTAAAATCGAGCGTTGTTATTACCTCGGTTCTGGAGAAAACGATAATTTCATTTCATATAAAAAAAAATATATTCGGGGGAAAGAAAGAAAAGAAGGAAAGGGGTTTAGTTGTACAGGGGTGGTTGTGTAAAACATTTATAAATTATATGCTACATTCATTCCATTTATAGATTAATTTAAAGCCGGTTGTGTATATTAAAAAAATAAATAATAATCAAGAGAAAGAAGCGAGCTGCATATACATGGAGTATATGAGACGAAATGATGCGAAATTTGTAATCACCTTATTTTGTCAACTTTATGTTTTGAAAATTTAAAAAAAAAGTTACCTTAAGTCTGGGAGGAAATATATTGCATGATCTGTTTTTTTTTTCAAGTGCAGTTTTACTTTATTCTTTTTTTCAAGTACCAACCGTAATTCACCTTTAGTCGTTATACTGTTCGTTCATTGTAGACATGCATAATAATATTAAGTTTTCCGAAAACCATTAAATTTTAAGTATATCTTATTAAAGTTAATTGCAATGTGTAAAATAATTATTTTTTTTTATATAAATTTTCATCACAACAGACACCGTAGCAACAATGGTAAATATGATTTCTTCTAAAAATAAGTTGAATTAAATTTAATTTTATTTATTTATTTATTTATTTATTATTTATTTATATTGAATTCTCAATTATCACTGTTTTATTTATCCCTGTATTTATTTATTTATTTTTATAATTTAATTTTATTTAATTTTATTTATTTTTTTATAATTTTATTCATTATAACAAAGTTTATGTTTAATTATTTATTATTACAAGTTTGTTCATTATTTGTTTATTACTTTATTAAAATATTCGGTGTAAAAAAAATTAGTAAAAAAAAAATATATATATATATTACAACCTTATCAGGATTTACAAAACAAAATCGAGCTCGTTAAATTAGAATTTAGTAAATATTTCTTTAGCTAATATAATTTAAGTATAGAATTTGTGTTACATATAATTTTGTAATAACAAAACATTATAATCACCCAAAAGCAGTATTTGTTTTTTGTTTATAAGCGCAAGAGGAAATACTTTATTGTACAAGGCCTATCAAAATTGGTAAATGATTGTCATCTATAATTTCCGAGCAAAATTTTTTGTTTATAATCGGCAATAATGTATATAAATGTATAAAATGTATATAAAAGATATCGATATTTTTCCCGCATTATCAAAACAGCCATTCTTGGTTATTTTTGTTACTTGGCGTACCCTTGTTTATGGCTATATTAAATCTTTTTAACCAATTTTTTAACCGCTTTTTTTAACCTATTTTTTTTTTTTAGATTTTGCATAAAATCAACCCCCGCATATATAATCAAATTTATCGATATTTTATTTTTAATATTTTTAATTTACATGTGCTCATTATTATTGTAAATACTTTAAATATTTACACATTGTAATCAACAGTTTATTTATTTTTTATTAAAATATTTTGTTTATACAAATCAAATTGAAATAATTGAGACCATATTTAGTAATTCAGTAATCACAATCACTTTTACGTCACAAATTCTTTATATATATCACATAAAGTATTTAAAGTGGTGTGTTGCAAAATTACTATAATTATTATATTTATTAAATAGTATTTGCGGTGATGCATCGTAATAGATCTTATATGTCCTTTTTTTAAAGTGATGTTCAACTTGCCTTCTTTGTGCCTTCTTTGTGTCTTCGTTGTACCTTCTTTGTATCTAGAAAAAGAATTAGAATTGTGGAATAAAAAAAAAAGTTTGGGGCAGAATATCAATAATGTTCATTAAGTTCATTATGTTCGTTATGAACAGTCTTTATAATCCATCAACATCATGCCACAAATTCTTACCTTTTCTTCTTCTTCCTTTCTTTGAAAGTCAGGGATCCAATCAATATCATCAAAAGAGAACATTGATAATTTATTTTGAACTTGTGTGCGAATTTACAAAACTTTTAACCATCATCTCATTTGACATCAAATTATATTAGATTTGCATAATACTGACATTTCATAACCGGAATTATTGATAAGGGACTTTATTGGTCCATAAAGGTAATTGGTATAAGTAATCGCCTATTTTTAAAAAAAAAGCTCCTTTTAAAGCGTACAAACCATAAACCATAAATTTATGTAATAAGAAGATTATGAAAACCATTATATGATTAGTACAAAGCACTTTGCCTTTCTTCCCCTGATCATTTCTCGTTCATAATTGAGTTCGTAATTATTAGAATCTTGTTATACTTGTATAATTAGTATGAACTATATTAAAATAGTATAAAACTGTGTAAACAGATAAATACATGCAAAGTGGTTCAGGTGATTCGATAAGATTCCATTTCCTTATTCGTCTCATTGACTTAATAACTTGTTTAATTAATAATAATAATATTTAAGCAGTAAACTATTTAATAAATAGTTACCTTCGAATTTTTACTACAAACAAGCCAGCCATCGATTAAGTACATTCTCGACACGATTTTTTTTTTTCTTTTTGCATCCATTTTAGACTTTTCTCTCGTACATTGTGTTTCATCGCATAATTATTTCAATGAAAATCTTAGAAGCAATATTCTCAATGGAACAATTTTCATCCGAAATTTTGTTTCACATTATTTTTTAGATTTTTGGCGGGAAATTTATTTTATTATTTTTTTTTATTAGATTGGTTTATATCATATCACGTGTGCAAATTTAAATATTATAAAGTTCGGAATGGAAAATTTTTGATTCGTACAAAATAAATCTCCGAACCGAACCACTCCGAAATTATTTTGAAATTTACGCATAAAGCATACAATTTATATATAATTAGAAAGTTTCATATTACATAATTAATTATTATTTGGATTTGCTGCAGGCAAAGTGAACATAACATCAAAGGAGAAAAATTAAAATATGTCACAGGATCAGTATCTTTCTTATCCCAGCATTTTCTTAACTTAATTTCGTTCATTAGTTGTTGTTGTTTTATTAATTCTGAACTGGTTGTTTGATCTGTCTCTCTAATTTTGTTTATTTTTGATTTATTTTTTGAATAATAATTTTTTATTGTTTAACCATTTCGGAATTCCAACCAGAATTGCTCCTGTATCAAAGGAATTAAATTGCCTTTTAAGTCACTATGAGTGTAAATGTTGCACGTTGATATTGTTCATTAATGATGTTGCTTTTAATTGTTTGGGTTGATCTGGTTTAATTAAATTTTGTTTTAATTTTCTTTGGCTGATTTTTGAATAATATTAACCACACCAGATTTTATAAATATTAATATTCTTTTGTGTCAAAGAAGTATAATTTCCATTTCAAGTTAAAAATATATGTATTAATATTAATGAATTTAACGAATGTTCGCTTTTCTTTTTCCCCAACTGCTTTTTAGTTTTGTTAACCTTTTCAAGTTTAATAAATTGATAGTTCAGAAAAGACTGTTTGATTTATCACAATCACAGAACTTAATCACGAAGTTATATCAAATTTAATTTGGAAAACTAAAGAAATATTTTATTATTGATCGATAGAATGTAGAAATAGATAAAAAATCAAATAATAATCAAATAATAATCAAGTGTAAATAAACAAATAAGCAAAGATTATATTGAAAACTGGTAAAACCTTGCTCAAGTTCTAGAACTTAATTATCAAATATGTGAGTATAAATGACAAATTGTTTATTTAGTTCACTGCATTGTTATACACAGAAAACTAAGACTTTAACATGCATCCAAGCTCTAACACTAGATTTAGTTCATCTGGTATAATTGGAATATTAAATTATGACCTAAACTCAATTGGATGAAATATCGCTCGCGTAACGTAATATCATGGTAATTACCAATTGCAATTCTTCATCACTACTACCATCATCAACGACATTGTAGTATTTGACATTTGAATTCAATTCTACTTGAAAATCTTGATAATATAATAAATTCAGTTGTAAATTTATCTCATTAAGAGGGAATCAAGTGGTGATAGTTTCATATGATTGTGGTCAAAAATTATTTTGAATAAAAGTAATATAATTTCATCAAGTCATTGAAAGAGCTTTTTGAGAATGGAAAACGAATTATTTTGATTATTTGAACTTATGACATTATATTCATTATCAATGTTGGATATTATATAATATTTACTGAAAGAGGCATTAAAGTTTAAGCATAAGTTGAAGAAATAAATAATATAATACTGATAATATATTCAATTGCATATGGAATATGTGAACTAATATGGGATTGAAATAAAATTATTTCCCAATATGTATACTGTAATTCTAAGCCGCAAACTTTTTTCAATCATATCAACAATACAAAGTGTTGGGATTTGCATATGTATGAAGACCTAAAACTAATCTATTATGTCCATCATTTTATTCAACATTTAACATTTCTACCCCATTTAACTAATAACTTAAAAAAATCCTTTCAAACTCTTTGATAGATTTTATTCTATAAGTCAGACTTTCCATTAGGGGACCAAAAGAGATCAATATATTTTTCAACCTTGAACTAGTTTTAAGAAATTCTCTCCACTGTTGCCTTTGTTGAATTATAAATTATCAAAGAATAAACCATTAACCCATAATGACAAGGTATAATCAGATATACATCAAAGGACTCCCTAATTTTCATTTGCCGTTACATTATATTCCAATTACTAATCAAAATGTCTACTTTATCATTATGAAGAAGATTGTATGTATTTCAAAGATCGTATATAAAAATATTGAATTTTGAATGAATGATTCTGAGAGTGTTTATAATATCAATTATTTCTTTTTATAAAGAAGAATTGTAACAAAGAGAGGTTGTAACAAGAATACTTTCATCATCAAGAAGAAAGTTTGGAAGATTAATCTTGAAGATTTATTCAAAATGTTTCTCAAAACAATAATAATAATTTGATTTTCACAACTACAGAATCCTTATAATTAAGCTCTCTTTAATATACAATACTAATTCTATCTGTACCATTGAATTGAACCAATTTTACAAATATATTTGAATAATCCAATTTGATATTGTATTGGAAACAAACCATAAGTGTTATCAGATATTTTACAATTAATTTGTAATAAATATTAGTGATATACATTTATTGAAAATAATAATATTATTACTTTCATTGTTAAATTTATTGCTACCATGTGCAGTGAATCTAAAGAATATTCTTTTGAAACAAATACAAAATCCGAATTTAGAGCATTTGGTGATGGTAAAGAGGATGCATTCATGATCTTAAGTTTTTAATAATTCTAATGCTTTGGCTCTCAATTTATTAAAAAAAAATTCATGTATTTCATCAAATTTGATAAGTTATTTAAATCAGTTTTTTAGTCAAATGAAATGGAAAAAGAATATGTTCTTTCGCAGAAAAAAAAAAAAAATATCCAATATCAATTTCTTTATAAGTACTTAAATTTAAATATTAAATGATATTTATATTAAATGATATTTAGCAGGAAATGATATTCTGAAATATTACTTTGCTTCATACCTCTTTTTATATAATAATGTTATAAAGATAGTGTAATACTCCAGAATATTAAAATTTACTGAAGATATGGCTCAGATAAATAAAATACCCAGAACATTCTTTATTTTATGAATTACTTTTACTTTATAATGTACTGCATCTATATTATTAAATCTTTTTATCAAAATGTCTCTTCAAAGAATTCAATAAAGTCCTCAAATAATCACATTTCTCTTCATTTATATCAAAGACATTCAGGGTTGGCACTATCTGATTTGTTAAATTAACATCTTTACTGAGCTAAACAATTAGTTTAGTAAAATCTTCTTTAGATAGCATTTCAAAGCGAAGGATTTATCTCGGAATGTTTTGTTTTTGAAGTTGTAGAAAATCATTTTTGGGTTAACATTTTGATTGGCGCATTAAATCATATAAAAGTAAGAAAAAAAAAAAATCTAAATTTATTCATAATCGTTCGTTTGTCAGATAATAAATTCAAAAGTAAGAAAATTTTTATTATTATTTTATCAAACTTAATTAACATTGTTAAAACTATTAACTTAAAATATTTTATATATATATATATATGTATGTGTGTGTGTACATATATATATGTTTTTTATATTTATAGTGAGCGTTCTTATTGAAACTTCGGTGGGTGATATTGTCATCGATCTTCATACAAAGAAATGTCCGAAAACTTCATTAAATTTTCTTAAATTATGTAAAATTAAATATTATAATTTCTGTTGTTTTCATAATGTTCAAAAAGATTTTATGGTTCAGACTGGAGATCCGACTGCAAGCGGGAAAGGTGGGGAATCAATTTATGGTATATTATACGGTCCTTCACGAAAATATTTTCCAGCAGAAATTCATCCCAAATTAAAACATAAAAACATTGGAACGATATCAATGGCTGTAGATAGTAATGGTACGGAAGGAGGAGGTGTAAGTGGATCACAATTTTTCATTACAACAGGTGAAAATTTAGATTATTTAGATGGAAAATATACAGTATTTGGAGAAGTTGCCGAAGGATTTGATACTTTAGATAAAATTAATAATGCATATTGTGATGAAACCGGAAGACCTTATAAAGATATTAGAATTAAACATACCATTCTACTTGATGATCCATTTCCGGATCCTGAAGGTTTACAAGTTCCGGATCAAAGTCCACAACCAACCAAAGAAATGTTGGAAACTATAAGAATTGGGGAGGATGAAAATATAGAACCAGAATTACCACCGGAACAAATGGAAAAATTACAAAGACAAAAGGAAGCACAAGCACAAGCCTTAACATTAGAAATGATTGGAGATATTCCTTTTGCAGAAGTGAAACCTCCAGAAAATGTTTTGTTTGTTTGTAAACTTAATCCTGTTACAGGAGATGAAGATTTAGAATTAATTTTTTCAAGATTTGGAATAATTAATAGTTGCGAAATTATTCGTGACAAAAAGACTAATGAATCATTATGTTACGCATTCATAGAATTTGAGAATAAAGAAGATTGTGAAACAGCATATTTCAAAATGAATAATGTTCTCGTAGACGATCGACGTATTAAGGTTGATTTCTCACAATCAGTTTCTAAACTACATAAAGATTGGATTTATTCTAAAATGAAAAGAAGAGAAGGTGGTGGATATGGAGGATCCGAAAATTTAGAAAAGCGAACAAAATATCGGATTGGAGATGATACACCAGTTGATAAGTATGATCTTGTTTTTGAGCATACAGGTGATTATGATAAAGAAAAACAAATGTACAAAGAATATAACTTTGAACAGGAAAAGGAAAATGAAAGAGAAAGAGAAAGAGATAAAGATAGTGAAATGGATAAAGATAGAGATGGAGAAAGGGATAGAGATAGAGATGGAGAAAGGGATAGATATAGAGATAGTGAAAGGGATAGGGATAGAGATAGGGATAAGGATAGAGAAAGAGATAGAGAAAGAGAGAGGGACAGAGAAAGGGATAGAGATAAAGATAGAGGACGAAGACGTGAAAGTGATTATCATGATAGAAGTTACATACGAAAGAGATCTAGATCATCTAGTCCACGAAGAAATAGAAATTATGATCGATATGAACCAAAACATGATAGATTCGATTATAGGAGTGAAAAAGGTCATGGTAAAGAATATATTCGACGTAGGTCCAGATCAAGATCACATTCAAGAGAGAGAAAAAGAGGTTATCAATAAAAATCTCACGATCATGCGTGTATTTAAACAATTTATTATATAATTTTTGTTTTTGTTTTTGTTTTTTTTTTTTTTTTTAAAAAAAAAAAGTTTTTTAAATTGAATGAAATGATTTATTAAAATTTAATCTAATCAAAATTTTTATACATGATTGAATATTATAATAATAAATAATAAATAATAAATAATATTTATATTTATGCTATTGATATCATTCTATTCATTATTAAATTCACATGAAATTAAATGTTAAATTCAATTTTTTATGTTAACATCTTCAAAAATCTCATTAATCATTTTCTGCTGTCCAGTAGCAATTTTTGAACTTGCCTTCTTATCATCTCCTTCATCAGGGTTATCAGTAATCGGTTTACGTAGTCGATTAACACCTTTAACAATGTCAAATGCTCTTTTGAATAAATCTTTTGGTGCAAAATTCGTTCGTACAGTTTCAATAATGTTAACATTATTTGCTTTTGAAAACCAGGGATGTTTAAGTGCTTCACGAGCAGTAATCCTTTTCGATGAATCATAAGTTAATAAATTATCAATAAAATCTTTTGCTATGATAAAAAATAAAAAATAAATAAATAAATAAATAAATAATAAATAAATAATAAATTAATAATGGAATTTGATTAATATGTAATAAACAATTTTTTTTTAATTACCAAGATCTGATATTTCTGACCAATAATCTTCTTCAAATTCATATTCACCATTCATTATGGATTCAAATAAAGAGTTTTGATCATCACCATAAAATGGCGTATATCCACATAACATGGTATACACGATTATACCTAAACTCCATAAATCTACTGGTTTACCATGACCAATTTGTAAAAGTACTTCGGGTGCAACGTATCTAAAAATTATTATTTATAAGTTTTAAAATTTTATTATATTTTTATTTATAAATTTATAATTTTATAATTTTATGGCTTATGGTTTCTAGTTGAACTTACCCTGGTGTACCGCAAGCAGTCATTAAAATTTCATCTTGACTTTTTAATATTTTTGATAGACCAAAATCCGTAATCATGAGAATCGCGTCATCAGATTCATCTTTAAAAAGTAAATTCTCGGGCTTTAGGTCTCTATGTACTATCTATAAATAGTAAAGTAGTATATATATATATATATATATATATATATGTATATGTATATGTATGATAAAGTATAAATATTTAATAAAAACTTTAAATTTAAAATATATTTCAACCAGTGTACCTCATGATCATGTAAATAAGCCACGCCTTCTAAAATGTTCCGCACCAAACTAGCAGCATCTCGTTCAGTATAAGATCCTTTAAGTAAAAGTTGACTAAATAATTCTCCTCCTTTTGCCAGGTCGGTAACAATGTATACTCCATTTTTTGATTCATAAAGATCATACAATGATACAAGATTTGGATGTTTGATACTTTTAAGAATTTCAAGTTCTGTTGACAACATTTGTTCCTTTCCTTTCATTATGAACATAAAAAAAAATTTTTTTTTCTTTTAAATATAAATGTTTAATAAATAAAATAATTCAAATTTAAAATCCTTAGATCTTGCAAATTTTTGATTTTCTTTTTAAATTAAAGAATCACCTCTGATTACTCTTTTGGAAATAATTTTTACGGCATAGTTTTCACCAGTTTGTTTATTCGTACATTCTTTTACAACAGCAAAAGAACCCGTACCAAGAACTTTCTTTGAGATTTCATAATTTTTCTCAAGCTCACTTGGAATAACGAAATCTTCTTCGTCTTTCTTAAAAATTCCAAATAATTTAAACATTTTTTTTAGTTACATTTATTAATTTTTACCTTTTTTAGATAACATCATTTCCTTAAATCATGTGATTTTCAAGATAATAAATAATATTCTCTTTGAATAATTATTATTAATTGTTTATTATTATTATTATTATTTATTATTATAAACTATCATTTTTATTAGCTATTATTATTATTTAAATATCATTTAAATTTAATTATATTTTTAATTATATAATCTAATCAAATTAACTTTTATTTAATTTAATTAATTTAAAATATTTAATTAATTTACCATGGAAGTTCTTCATCAGAAATTCCTCTCATCATAACTTTTAAATATAAAGGCATTTCCAAACTTTCCAAAACTCCCAATGCAACATTAATAACTTCTTCTCTTCCATTAAATTGTCTTAAAACATCTACGCATTCACAAATTCCTTGTCGAAGATACATTTCACTTACATCCCTATTCATATATTCGGGTCCCATCCGTTTTTGATCACAAAGCCACATATTTTGAGAAGGAATGTATTTACTAAAACGTCTAAGATTAGGTGCCATCCAACGAATAACCAATTCTCTTGAAGGTGTAACAACTTCCGCTAAACATTCAAATAAAACAGAATTATATGATTCAGGATTTAATAATGTTATAAATGCATCCATTCCACAAGATGATGTGGGTGAATTTTCCCATTGTTGTCGAGCGAGTTTTTCATCATAAGGTTTTAAAGAAGTGGCAGTTCGTTTTTTATATGCTATCCAAAGATCTTCACCAACTGGAACATTTGACTTTAGAATGAGTAAAAATCGACTTTCTTGAAATTCGTTTGGTGCAGTATATACGGAAGTCAACCGTTCGATAAATCTTCGTAAGTCTATAGACATTTTACATCTATTACAGCAATATTATTGTATGTATGTTAATAGTTATAAGGGATTCGACTTTTTATTACAATGATAATTTTAGATACTATTTTTAGATTAAAGTTATTAAATAAGTTACTATGTTTAGAAATTATCCATCCTTTGATCGTCATTTTATTAATGTATAAATACTTTAGATAACTGGTGATCAATTTGATAAATTTTTTTTTCAAAATGGTAAGAAGAAAATGAAGAATTCAAACTTTAATAATAAAATAAATATTAATATTATATATGTATATATGTGTGTGTATATATATATATATATATTGTCATTCCGAAAAGTCGCGACAAGAGTTAATAGGACCTCAAGGTTAGTTAGTTAATTTGTATTATTTTTTTTTAAAAAAAAACAATAATAATAAACCATATATTATAATAATTTTTACAATAATAATATGATATAGGACTTCGACAAGACGGTCGTCGCGCTAGTGAATTAAGGAAAATAAAATGTACGCCTTCAGTATTAAGCCAGTCGGATGGATCATCATATATTGAACAAGGAAATACAAAATGCTTGGCAGCTGTTTATGGGCCAAGAGAGGTTTGATAATTCTATTTCAATTAAAATTTTTAATGCATAATTTTAATAATTAAATAATTTAATTAATTTATTTAAATAATTTATTTATTAATATTAATTGTTGATTTATTTATAAATGATTAATTTATAAATTATTAATTAATTAATTAATTAAATGATTAATTAATTTATTTAATTATTTATTGATGACAGGCTAGACAAAAAGCACAAATTCTACATAACAAGGCTTTAATTACAGTTGAAATTAGTTTAGCACCTTTCAGTATGTCTGAAAGAAAGAAACGAAAGAAATTTGACAAGTAATTCATATAATTTAAATTTAATAAAATTCATATATTTAAATATCTCTTCATTTTTTTTCTCACCAATTGAATTTGATTATAGACGATTATTGGAAATCGCATCAGCAGTTAAACAAACATTTGAACCAATTATAATGACAAATTTATTTCCTAGATCTCAAATTGATATATTTTTACAGATTTTACAGTATGATGGAGGTAATTATTATTTTATTTATTTAATTATTTATTATTTCTTATAATTTTTATTAAATATAAATTATTTTAACAAAGAAATCATCATAACGTAAATCATAATATTTTATTATAAAATATTATTAAATATGCTTTAGGAATGATTCAAATATGTATAAATGCTGCTACTTTAGCATTAATTGATGCAGGAATACCAATGTTAGAATATGTTTGTGCTTGTTCAGCGGGAATTGTAGAGGATACAACTATTTTAGGTATTTCATATTCATTATGTGACATATTTATATGTGATATATATATATATATATTGTGTGATATATTTATCTTATTTTTATAAATATTATTTATTATTTTCAGATTTAAATAATAGTGAAGAATTATTAGGTACTCCAGAATTAACAGTAGCTTTATTACCACAATCCCAGAAAGTCACATTACTTCAGGTAAGTTCTTATTTTATTATTTGTGATGAAAATTAAAAAAGAAATGAAGTTAAAAAAAAAAAATTAATTAAATTATTGATTTATTATTATAAAAAAGTTGGAAACGCGTCTTCACGTTGATAAATTAGAACCAGTAATGAAGATGGCTATTGAAGGTGCTAAAGATATTTATAAACATTTAGATAAAATAAGCCGTAATTATATAGAAGATTTATTACAAAAATCAAATCCTCATCCTCCCATTTAATTTTATATCATTTAAAATGGATGTAAAAAAAATATCATACAAGAAAAAAAAAAATAAATAAATAAATAAATCTTTTTTTTTTTCTCATATTTCAAATTCAAGAATTTTTAATTTTGTTTATAGTAATTCTCTTAAATAATTCAGTAATAGGACCTATAATTGTTTCTGCCATTTTTGGTGTCAACCAAATACAAGTTGCTATACGAACTGGCATTAGAAACTATTAAATATTAAATATTAAATATTAAATGTAAAGCATGAATAATTAATTATATATATAAAATTAATTAATTAATTAAAAACACAATAGTTATTTTTTTTTTCACCCACCTTAACAATTGCATAACTAGTAGCCAAATTTAAAGCAACTCTACTTCCATCTTCAAATGGTTCATAACCATAATGAACCATTACTCGATTAATATATTTATTTCCTTCATCCAAAATTTTTTGTGGGAAAGGAATTTTAATACTAGTGGAAGAAAGAAAAATATAAAAAATTGGAATAGGTATTATGGCTGTTATTTCATGTAATAATAAAAATGAAATTATATATGAAGTTGGTTTGGAACGAAATTGGAGAACATATTTGCTTAATTTTTTATTTTTAATAAGTCTATTATAAAGAGTTGAATTCGAGGAAGGGGAAGGGGAAGGGGAAGGAGAAGAAGTAGTTAGTTTTCTATGAATGAATTGGAATTTATTATTATTATCTAATTTATTATAAATAAAATTTAATTTACAATTTAATTGATTCGAAGTAAAATTATTATAATAACTTTGTCGTATAAAATGGTTGGAATGAAAATTGGTCTTTGGATAATAATAATTAAAAAATTTTAATGATCGAACAAACATCATTCGATTATCAAAAAATTTGTTAATTAAGGGTTGAAAATTTGTGATTGGTTCCGGAAAAATAAAACAAGGTTTCATTTTTTATTTTTTGTAATGAATTCTAACAAAACAAAATAACTTTCTGTACAAAATCATTTCAATCACAGGTTTCTTTTATGACTTTCATGATTTTATACATTTTTAAAAAGCAAGCATGTACGTTATTTTGATACCAATAAATTCAATAAATTCCAGAAGAAAATTGACATTATTTCGGAAAATCTGAATTTTTTTTATTTTACTAACCTGATTTATTTCCACGCTGATCGACGGTATATATATAGTCTATTCCTTTTATTTATTAGATAAATAAAAATGTCAAATATAATAAATATAATAAATCCATCTGTTCATTCCATAAATTTTAACAAATTAATGAAATCAATAATAAAATATTCGATAATTCCACATTTATCATCATTTTCATCATCATCATCATCATCATTTTCACATTCTTTTCATTCATCTACTTTTCATTCATCTAATTTCATTAATAATAATAACGATCAAAATAATAATAATAATAATAATAATAATCAAAATAATCAAAAAAATAACATAATTGATTTCGATGCTGAGACATTAGAATTAATCCGTGCTCGATTAAAACAAACTTTTAAAGAAAATCCAAAATATCATTTAAAATGTAAAGAAATAATTAATGATGCAGCAGTATTAATGGTTGGTTTGTTTTTTTTTTTATTTATTTACCGTAATTACATTTTTTTTTTTCAAATAAAATAAAAAAAATTAAAATCTATATCATATAATTACTATAATTAATATTTGATTATATATTTTTATTAATGTATGAAAAAAAAAATAGCCACTTTGTATAGCGAATGGTAAACCCAGTGTATTATTTACAATTCGTAGTCAAAATTTAAAAACTCATAAAGGAGAAGTTAGTTTCCCGGGAGGAAAAAAAGATCCCACAGATCAATCACTAGAAATTACTGCATTAAGAGAAACTTTTGAAGAAATAAGAATATTACCTAAAGATATTGATATATTAGGTCAAGATACTATATTACCCAATAAAGATTATACTCTAAAAGTTCATCCTTTTGTGGGATTTATTAAATTTCCTATTAGGATTGATAAAGATAAAGTCGATGATGATGATGATAATCAAGATAATAAGAATAAAAAAATTAATTACAGTAAAGAAATCAATTATAATAAACATGAAGTTTCAGGAGTTTTTACAATGACTTTGAATGAATTATTAAATCCTAAAATAAGAACTTTCAGACAATTTAGAAATACAAAGATTGAATATCCGGTATGTTTATATCAATAATATAATTTTATTAATTATCAATCAAATTATTTATCAAATTATTTATCAAATTATTTATCAAATTATTTATCAAATTATTTATCAAATTATTTATCAAATTATTTATTTTAGGTGTATCAAGCGCCTTCTTGGGTTAAATTAGAAATATGGGGTTTGACAGCATTTATATTAAACAGTAAGTAATTTCATAGTTATTATTATTATTATTATTACTTTATTTATATTTACTTAATATTTTTATTGAGTTTAGGTGTATTAAAAAAATTAACTGATTCACCATTAAAAAAGAAATAGATGGAAGTAATGTACAATAATTTATTAGATAATTTAATTTAATTTTCTTATTACATTATTATATTTACACGTAACACATTTAAATAATATGCAAATAATAATATACTTAATAGAATTGATTAATAGAATTATAGAATTTATAGAATTATAGAATTAATAGAATTAATAGAGTTAGTAAAATTAAATAGAATTAATAGAATTAATAGAGTTAGTAAAAAATTAAATACCTTAATTGAATTATTTGATTATTCCAATTCAATAGAATGATAACTTGGAAATATTAGTTCTTCATCAATAAATTTCCTTAATTGGTCAACAATGAATCTTTCTAATTTTCCTACATTTTTTAATACTATAATAAAATATCAACAATTATTCATTATAATTATTAATAATATAAATAAATGAGGGTCTTAACATGTGGTTTACTGCCAGATAACAAGTTGCAACTTGCTGAAATCAAATAAATAAATAAATGAATTTTTATTATTTTATTATAATTACCTTGTTTTTCTTTATCACCAACTTCTGATTCTATATGAACTTCTTTTAAAAGGCTATTTTTATTATATTAACATATTAATTAATGTGTATATGTGTGTGTGTGTGAGTTGTAAATTATTGTAAATTGAATAGTTGTAAAATGTTAATAATCACCTTTCTTCTGGATTCTTTGGTTCCAAAAAACAAAAGTTAATTCTACGCTTTAAATATGCAATTACTGCAGTAGCTATTTAAATATATTGTGATATTATTAATCATAAATTTCAAAAAAAAAAGTAGAGAATATAAATGTAGAAAAATGGGAATTACCAGAAAACTCAAATCCAGTTATAGTTAATCTAATTGGTAAACTCATAAACATCATACTAGGATAATTCATATATAATTCTGTAGTAATAACCATTCTCATATCTCCCTTATAATCTATTGAAATATGTAATTGTGCGTCTGTATCATGTTTCTTTATTGATGATGCTTCTTCAACATCTTCTGATATCATCATAGACTCAAATGAATCAACATTATCAAAATTATCAATTATATTTTCACCAAGATTATGATGAGGGAGAGTAGAGTGAAGTAAATGATGATTATGAAGATTATTATTATGATGACTATAAGGTAAATGATCTTGATGTTGTCGTTGTTCTCTTAATAATCTTTGTTGATAATATAAATATTCTGAATTATGATAATCATCTATTATTGAAGGAGAAGAAGTTCCAATCCCTCCTATTCCATATGAATTACTCAAACCACTTGTTGTAGAATTTGCTGAATTCATTCGACTTAATCCAATTCCACCAATACCACTCCCACTCCTACTACCACTACCTAAACCACTTAATCCAATTCCATTATTATTATTATTATTATTATTGTTGTTGTTATTGTTGTTACTACTACTACTATTACTATTAATATTATTATTGTTGTTGCTACTGTTATTATTATTATTATTATTATTATTATTATTTGTATCTAAATCAACTATCGAATTATCCGGTAAATAAAATTCAGGAAACGGATCTGTAATATTATTAATTTCAATTGAAGGTGGTAAAGTACCAAAATGAAAATCAGATATTACTATGTCTCCAATAAAAGAAGGTTTATTCGCCGAATTACGGAAATGATTGGTTAATATATCTTGTACTTTTTTTGCCATTTCATTATCTAATTTTTCCCAAAATATATCGAAAGACATTGTAATAAATTTTTGAATTCGTATATACAGAACAAGCAGAACAAGAAACGTTTTTATAATTATTCTATTAGCATTAGCAGAAGTCACACTACACGTCAGATGAAAATCATTCAATCATTCTTTTTATTTGAATTATTAAGTATTTTAAATATATATAACAATTACGATTTATATTTAGATATAAAAATCAAATAAAAAAAAAGAAATAAAAGGAGAAATAAAAATAAATAAGAATAAAAGAAAATTAATATTTAATATTTATATAATTTTACAAAAAAAAAAAAAAAGGAAATGATTTATCCAAAATTTTACAATATATATATATATTTAATTATAGGATTTATATATATATTTAATTATAGGATTAATATATATTATATAATTTAGGTTAACGTTTTCTTTGAATTTTATATCATTTTTTTTCTACCTCGTTTTTTGTTTTTTATACGCATTTTCCTACATAGTGGGCCAACCTCCTAAATCAAATGTTTGTTCAATCTTTCTTGCCACATGTATTGGTACTCCATGAGTTAACCATAATTTACGAATTTCATCATAACGTTTTTGACTAAGAAATTGTTGTCGACCACGTCTATCAATGTAAATTACACAAGTTGTATAAATTATATAAATTATAAATTTTTAACAAATTACATATAAAATATAAAATAATTTATAAATAATAATAAAATAAATATAAATTCCTTACTTTAATCCTAAATCAGCTTCTCCGTGTATATCAAGATATGGCGCACTCATAAAACATCCATTATCAAGATGTAATAAAAGTATTACACATTTTTTAACTAACAAATAAATCCCTATATCACCACCACAACTATATTATCAAAAATAATATTATTATTATAAAGTTATTTAAATTATTTAAATTATTTAAATTATTTAAATTATTTACCTTCTTGCGTGAATATTACATTCTCCTCGTTCATTTTCTTGACAACAATAACTTTGACTACATACAAATGTTCCACATAATAAACATAATGCTGGATCATGAGGTACTGTCTTACATTTTTTACAAACTTTCTTAAGACTTTCTTCAAATAATGCATCTAATCGTTTAGGTAATCCTACCAATTCAAATATTGTAGGTTGATTAACCCTAACTTCTATTTGATTCCATTTATTTCGAAAATTAATTCCACTTGATACTAAAAATCCTTGATCTTCATGAACATCATTAGTTTGATTATGTGGTGGTAATATTTCTTGTCTAATAGTATATAAATGATTACACCATCCTGAAATTATCGATTTCAACGTAGAATCACTTGACGTCGTACATACTTCTTCTAATTTAGGAAGACCAAGTAATTTACTTAACCTTGAAAATTCTGATTCTTCTGATTCTTGTGATTCTTGGTTACTCGATAATGGTATTTCTGTTGTCTTGGTTGTTGTGATTGGAAATACTACTCCATATCTTGAATGTAATAGAATAATACTTTTCCTTAAATATGGTAAACAGAATGATCGAATCATTTTCCAAAATTTCTTCTCTTCAAATTCATTTAAAAATTTATCTATATCTCTTTCCTCATGACCAACTTGTTTTAATAACCATATAATGAATTCTCGTGACACTTTTGATTCAAAGAAGGCTTGTTCTATCTTTCTTTCTATACGTTTATCATCTTTCCATAATTTGGTTTTTTCATTAAATATTGATTCAATTACTGAAATTATTGATTTCACTATTTCCGTGATAAACAATAAACGCATCATATGATGTATTTCATATTCGGCAGCTGTGGCGGTAAACATACTAATTTCAACCAATAATAAAAATGGATCTTCTAATAATAACGGTTTTACTTTGGTAAATTGAAAACTTGGTCCAAATATTCCATTAATCTTTCTTGATGAATCAACTACTGGTCCTGATACTAAAAATTGTACTGAATTCTTTTGTTGTTGTTGTTGTTGTAAATCCGGATGTCCATAAAATATTTGTTGTATTCGATGTGATGACACTTGCTTTAATCCAAGTTCCCCACGTTGACCAATTAACATCGTATTAATATATGTAAGTATTGTCTCGGATAAAATTCTAAGTAATGTTAATGTTTGAGTATTTATACTATCAATTAATGTCTTCCCCTTAATTCCTTCATTATTTATATTATCAAAACCTCGTTGACTTATTTCAATACATGATATCGTATATCCAAATAAATCCCACATATATTCAACTGACTTGATTGATACCGTTTGAAAAGTAATTTCAGGTGCTGCTCGACTATACATTTGTATTAATTCATAAAATCGATTGTATATTTTACGTATCGTCTCTTGATCGTCGTCATCTGATGTTCCTAATTCACCACCACTTCTATTCGTTGTTGTAGTAGTATTAGAGGATGCAACTGAAAGTGTTGGAAAATCATCAAGGGTTACAGTAGGAACAACACCTTCTTCAGTATTTTGAGCTGCTGCAGGTGTTCTTAACATATGAACAATTTGTGCAAGAGCATCTCGAATTCTACCTGCTCCACTACTATTACGTCGTCTAGGTTGATTTATAGCTACTTGAGCAAGATTCATAGGTAAATTATTACTGGCTAATTCTCGTACTGCGCCAAATGTTCCTGAATTATAAGGTGATGAGAAACGGTATTCATTATTACTAGTTAATGACATATTGTTTGATCCTGAAGAAGAAATTGAATGTACATTTGAATGTACATTTGAATTCACTTTATCTAAACCAGGACCAATCTTATCACATGCCCAGGTTTCAAAATCTTCTTGAGTCTTTAAAATTCCAGGATATGTTTCTTTCTTTGTTTTCCAAATAATTGGGAATATAACGTTACCCAAACTTTTACACAAGGGACACATGAATTCTTTACGCTTAACATCTTCGGGATGATTCCTTGCTAATTGCATATGGTGTCTCTGTTCCAATGACGTAAAATATGTATCAAAACATTTTACGTGCATTAAATGACCACAAGTTGATGCATAAAGTCCGGCACGACAAGAATTGGATGGAAAACCCTTACTCAATAAAGGACGTGTTGGTGTATTAGAATTATTTCCTTTTGACTCCTCAGCTTCATAAACCGATGATGCGACACCATATGGAAAAGAGCGATCATATTTCTTGTCCAAATTTTCCGGTAAATTAATGACTTCAAAAACATAATCACTTTCTTCAAATGGTGTTCGTCGCAATAATTTAGAAGGTTGAATTAATCCCAACATTCCATAAAGAGATAAAGCATTGGTTTCTTCCTGACAAACTATACAAGTTCCTGTGGGATATGACCAAAGTACTTCGGGAGATTTTGATTTGTCATCGCTCAAGTGATCTTCACCAGAAGTTATTTCCCAATCTTGATCCATTTCATCATATTCTTCATATAATTCTTCATGTTTATCTATGAAACTTTTTTGAGCTATCGCAAATTGTTCCATAATTTTTCTTTGCCTTTCCTTTGCTGCCTGTTTCTTACGTTCATATTCTGACAATTCATTTTCTTGTCCAATTTTTGATTGTAACGCGACACGTATTTTTTCTCGATATTTCTCGATAGCTAATTTTGCACTAACACTACCTAACTGTTCAAATTTATTTATTATAAATTCTATTGTAGTATGAAATTCTTTAAAATTAGCATCATTAGATAATTGTAATAATAAATCTAATAAATTTGTTCCTTGAGTTTTCATAGCATTTGTTCCGGTTCCGACATCAGGGAAACAATCACAAACCGCGTAGTACATAAATCCGGGAATACCATCATTATTATGTGTCGTTAATTCATATCCATCAACCACTTTTTGTTTGCCTTTTCGTTTACTCTCTTGAGCTATATCATTATTTTCATCCAATAGAGCCAACATAATCAAATGAAGTGCTTCTTCCACTAATGTATCTGACTTTATCTTTTCATCAGTTTTCACATGCCACAAAGTATAATAAATAATTTGATTCAATAATCGTGCGTGCAAAAGATTACCTAATCGGACATAAGGTCCTTTAGTAATTGGAATTAATTTTGGAATAATCAATGGTACGATTTGTTTATCTGAATTATCCATTTTCTTTAATCGATTTTTCAATGCCTCCTCTGCTTCCTCACGATTATTACGTGAATAATGTACAAAGTAAGGATCTACTTCTTCAAAGTATTCATCTTTAAGTTCATAAATTCCATGATCAGTAGGAGTGTCAGGAGATCGATAGTTAGAAAGTTGATATAATATTCCATCAAATCTTGAATCTTGAGTAAGACGATCAGGAATACGTTTTGATAATTCAGAATATGGTAAAGATCCTAAACATAATCCATGAATAATTTCACGTCTAATTTCTTGTTCAACACTTAATCCAGCCGCATTTGCTCGCTCACTTACACAAATAATTAAAAGAGTAAGTAATTCTTCAGAAATAAAAATAAGTTGAGTATTATCATAAATTTTGTGAGTAGATATGCCGTTAAACCAATCAACAAGATCAAATCGATCTAAAATGGTAGCGAGAACTAAGTTTGGATCTAAAATAACGAAAGCAGTCTGAATAAGAAAGATATCTTCATCATAAGTATTTTCTCGAAGTGATACTTCTCGATAATGATGTCCCTAATAATAAAATAAATTTTCACATTAAAAGATAATCTAATTTTGGAAAATAAATTAATACAAAATATAAATATTTTTTAAAAATTAAATTACTTGTCCACGTATTCCGAAACCATTCCTAACCCATAATCCAGCACGAATCTGCACCAATAAGACCAATACTATAAAAAAGAAAAAAAAAGAAAAGGAAGTAAATAAATCCTCCTGTTTTCTTCCCTCTTCCTATTATATAAAAACTAATTTATATACCTCTCAAAGGATAATCAAAAACGCTCAAAATTTTTTCTCTCGCTTTTTGAACCACAGCATCTAACTCTTCTTCATTTTTTACACAGAATCTCATTATCATGTTTTTAAAATTATTACCCAACCCATGTTGAAATAACATATCATCATCTAATAATTCAACATGCTCCAAAAGTTCTGCCAAAAACCAGTGCAAGGGATGATGAAAACTAACACGTTGTGAAGACACCTCGAATTTAACAACCCTAAATGAAAGGTAATAAGGATTTTTAGGGAAAATTATATCATGAAATTCCGGTTCTCTTAATGAGGGAGAATTATTATCTTTATCTTCATTTCCATCATCCGAAAATTTAGAACTTCTGGCAAATGGTCCATATGATCCAGGTGTGGAAGTTTCCCATTCAGAAAGGATTGATTCCTTTTGTTGTTCATCACTCGTTTCATCCATTTTATCAGTTTCTTCTTCATCCTCATCCCGCCTTGCGCACCATTCGTAAAGTCTTCGTAAAACAGTACGAATGGTATTTGAAAGGGTTTCAGTATTTACAGCATAACAATCTGAAAATAATCGACAACTCTTGGCAATTTGTAAAGTAACGTTGAAAGCATTGACCCAACTATCATTTTCATATTCCACGTGTTGTTGTGTGGCTCGCACATTAGGATTCATTCCTTGAAATAAACTAATAAGATTGAGATATTGTGTTAGATAACAAGGATATTTTTGGACAACCTTCTTTACATGTTCATTGCTGATAATGTAACGAAAATCTTGAAAGACGTGAAAATATCGTCGATTTTTAAAACTATCCGAATCACAATCAATTTTGGCGTGGGGATTGATAACTCCTCCCACTGTGTTCGAAGTAAAAAATGTATGAAGTATTGCAAATATTGTTGAAAGGAAACTATATTCTGTGATAAGAATTGAAGAAATTGTGGGTACGGTGAAAAGTTGAACTGAAAAAAGCACTATCGAATGCTCCGGCTCGCGATCAGGAGTAAGAAATGCTTTAGCAAGTTTTATATAATTGCGAGCAAATCGAATACCTGAATATATTATTTGATTAATAAAGAGTGAAATAGTATAATTAATATAATATAACTAAATAAAGCTTAATTAATAAAGTATATTAATATAAAGTATTAATATAGTATAATTAATAAGCTTAATTATTAATATAGTATGATGATAATTATAGTATAAATATTATAATATATTATAATATATTATTTAATTATAGTATAAATATTATAATATATTATTATAATTATTATAACATTATTATAATTATTTATAACATAATTAAAATATTTATAATTATTAAAATTACCCATAATCTTTTTATATTCTCTATTGACGACCAAAGTTCCAATATATAATTCTCGGAGACCAGCTCTAGCTTCTTTCCAAAGTCTCAAATCTAAAAGTAACAATTTATCTAAACGTAATTTCTTTTTAAAATCTTCAATTGTCTGCATTAACATAGTTCCGCGATATATTGATTCATCTTCTTCCATAGGTTCTATAATATCATTTGATTCGACTTCCATTGAAATATCATAATCACCATTATATTCGGTTGATTGATTATAATCATTAGAATTGTCATCTTCGATTTGAATATCACTTTCTTGTTCTATAATAGCCATAACTTCATCTTCAATCATTTCCTCATTCTCCGTTTGATAATATTTTTCATCATCTATAAATACATCTTGCCAAATCCTATTAGAATCACGAATATTAGTCTTGGAAGATTTTGCTGGACGTTTTTTCCATTCTTTGCAAAGTTCTTCACAAATAATATCTCTTAATAAGTTACAATTTTTTCCTATTTTTCCTCCTACAAGATCCTTTAACCAATCTATGAAAAGACCACACATCCCTTCACGGAAAGTATCACGCGCGGATCTCACGGTAACAGCTAATCCTATAGATGAAATAGTTCGCGCTATATTGAGAAGACGAGGAATGTCTTCAGATAATTCAACAATATCTCTTCCCTAAAATTTAATCATAAAAATTTCATTAATAAATAAAAATAATAATAATAAACATAATAATAACTCATAATGTTAACAAAAAAAAAAAAGATATATTTCAAAAAAAAAAAAAAGAAGTTTTAAAAAGGTTTTACATACATATGAATCTATTCTTTCAGCCAATCTTCTTGCATCTTCTTTTGTACATGAAGTAGCTTCAACTACTTGATCAATTACATCTTGAAAAGAATGATGTTCATCATTCCAAAGAATAATAGCAAATAACTTTTCTTCTTCTATATCATCATCGGTATCATTAATTATACGACCAACATATTCTGCTTCTTGTTTTACTTCTTGTTCATTAGGTGGTGGAGTAATTTCTTCAGGAGAAACAGATAAAGTATTTAACATGAAATCAAGGACTGTACAAATAGTATTGTGAATTGAATTAAGGAGATCGAGGGGAATTTGTTCATCTTGATTTATATCTTTAGATTTTTGAATTGAATCTGATGAATGGTAACAACAATTAATAGGTTTTTTCCAAGCCTCTGGATCACCACAGTCACAACATCCACCAGATCCGGTATTTATAGAGAATGAGACATCGTGTCCCTCATGATTAGTGGCATGAAAACAACGAGAACAAAATACGCATGTATCGTCGAGTGCACAATTTCTATATAATTAAAAAGCATTACTTAATTAATATCTTTAACGAATTTAAATATAATAAAAAATTAAAAAGATTCAATCTTTCATTGAATGAATGAATGATTGATTGATTGATTGAATAAATAATATTAAATAATATTAATTAAATAATATTAATTAAATATTAATAATATTTCATTAATATATATTAAGACATAAAAATTATGAATTTTTCAAATTTCAAGCAGATCATACATCATTTTATAATAAATTCATCTACCTGCAACGATATACACCTTCACCCTTCCTAAATACATGACCACAAGCGCTTCCCTTTTGTGTTGAAGAGTACTCGTCCCCTTGAACCAAACTTAATTTATATGCGTCAGGACCTTCTCCGAACCCATTTGGAAAAAATAAAGCTCTATATTCTTCATTAGATATCCAGAACTCTGAAAATAAATATTCTAATATTTTCTGTTGTGCACCTTCTGTAAACCTGTAATCAAAGGCTTTAGGACAAGATTGCAAATATTTCGAGAGTGTCAATTTACTTGTTGAGAATGAACCTTCAGATTCCATTAGAGTAATTGCGGAGAAAAAAAAAAATGATCTTTATAAAATTTATGGGAAAGGTGGTCTAAAACAACAAATTTATAAGTAAACGGTTCTGGCCTTATATACAAAAATTTAGAGTGACCAATCACCCGATCAACTTAATAAGTACATATAACGTCATATCGGAATACCAAATTCTAGGTGACATCTATTTTTGATAAAAAGTTTTTTTTTTTTTTTTACAATTAGAAAAAATGGCATATCGTCCTTCTTATACCATGGGTGCAATTTGTAAGTACCATTAATATTTCCTTGACAGTTAAGCGAGTTAAGTGATCAAGCAGTCGAAAAAATTAGAAATAGTTGTAAGCAATTACATTTTAGTTCAAGAATTATCGTAGAATATTATTCTCTTTACTTAAATTTAACATTACATTAGGCGCGGTTGGAGGAGTTGTAGGTTATGTTACAAAACGTTCAGTGCCATCATTAATAGCAGGCTTGGGAATTGGCGCTTTATATGTACTCGGGGGGTAAGTGATAGCTAATTCATTAAGTTACTTTTAGGGAACGTTTCAAAACCTAACGATTAACATGATGTTTAAGACAATTTTGCAATTACTTAATTTATTTTGATATTATAAGAGTATTAATGCAACGAAATAAAAACTATGGATATGAAACTTCATTAGGTATTATTATTATTATTATTATTATTATTAAAAGGATAATTCTTTTTTCTCTATTAAGATAGATTTTTTTTTTTAATTTTTAACGAAAATTCGCATTTTTTAAAAAAAATCCGTATGTAATAAGCCGCATCAATTATATTGGCTGGAAGTATGATTCCTCGCACTATAAAACGTGGTACACCTATTCCTTTGTCATTAAGTATTTTATCTGTTGGAATGGGAACTTATTACACGAAAAAGATATATGATCAACGATTTAATGATTAATACTTGTATAATATGGATCGTTATTAAGAAAAATAAAGAGTCATGAATATTTTACTTTTTGTAATGATGCATTTTTACATTTGACACCTGCCAAGAATTATGTGTGTATTTTGGACATTACTCCATTTGTCTATTTGTGTAAGGATACTTAAATAATCGCGGGAAAAAAATGGCTAAGTCTAAATATCGATGAATTCTTGAAATATCCAATGAAAATTAAGTGTATTGTTTTGTAGCAGTGCTCATTCGTGAACTTGAAAGCGGACAACCGAGCCTAACCACGAAACATACCTGCCAATTTTCAAGTAGTTCCTTCGCCTTCTGTGTATGTTCTTGACGATGCTCTTAAGTAAAGACTTAAACGCATCGTGTTCTTGATTAAAAAAATTTACACGAGCCACCTAGAAGGAGAATGCTTACAAATCGCAAAACTGATCAGGTTACACAAGATTATTGTTCGGCTACTTATTATGACGCCTACATCACATTTCTGATCATGCCCAATAAGGAAATATACGTGTTCTGCAAGGATCATGAAGGTCCCAGGGGGTAGGTCCCAGTGCCGGCATAAACTGGCTCTTTAGATGTAATGGTAAGATAGCAAAGTAGTATATTGCGAGCACCGTGATCAAGCTCAGCTGTACAACTTGGGCAACGAAACACTTTGGATCCACCCAATTTTCAATGGATATGACCACAGCATCCACATGTCTTACTGGTATATTCTTCAGTACATATAATTACCCGACACCATGGATATTCATGAACTTTATGTAGAAGATATTGGCGAAATCGGATATTGGCGGAATCGGAAGTGGGACCATGTTAACATCATCCATGCAGTCTTAGAACGAATCCGCCATTTTCCATGCCTAACCATTCCCTGTGTTTTAAACTCGGGCAACAAAATAATACAAAAACTTTGATACAGCCATTTGACAAGTTTATGGTGACAATCATTAATAAGACAACGGATTTTTTTATGTATACGAAGCATGACCCTACGAAGTTTATAGCGTTTTCGTTTGTGTACTTTTCCATGAATAGAGTCATGTGTGCTTTGAATCTTGTCATATATGTGAGAAAGCCAATAAATTCTACTAATATCATTTTTGTCCCATTCTGTAACTTGTCCACTTGGATCGTATCCAGTTATAAATGTTCGTATATCTGGATCTAGAGCGATCACTGCATCTGATTGTGTAGGACCTTAATTTTCAGCCTATATCTCGAGTGGTTGAGGAATATAAAAATAAAATACTCCAAGCCGATTCATCACAAGTCGTGCATCGTAATGAAGCTCTGCTGGGAGATTTTCAGCTGACTTCATTTTACAAAGAAATATATAAACTCCTTTAGATTTACCCCAATGTTTTGATAGAATTGCAATAAATTGTTGTTGATCTTTCTTAGAGCAAAATTTCATCTTGAATTTTTTCCATTTTGCAGCAAAATTTGATGAATATGATTTAAGTAATCAATCATCACTTCATCACGAATATTGTAAGGAGTTTCAAGGACCTATTAAAGTAAGGTATTATTGAAGTTTGTGACATTGAGACACTGTGCTCATAGAACTTTTTTTGTCCACTCGATACCCTCTTTTTTAACTGCTACAAGACACCAATTGTAAGTCCATCACACTGTTCCCATCCAGCATTTGAGTTTTGACTATACATGTTCCCAAAATTGATTTTGAATTTTTGAGATATTTCGACTTTTTGAGATTTATGCAGAATCTATTCTATATATGGAAGTAAAAAAAGTACCCAGTTATGTGTATATTCAATCAAAGAATAAATCTGGATGGTCAAAAAATTTTGAATTTTAAGTAAAATAATTTTGTCTTCTATGAAAAACTATTTTGACTTTTTTCTTCAAAATTACAATTTCAGGACTCCAAAATAATTTTGCATACAAGTATAGTTTTGACTTCTTCTCTTGTGTAAGAAAGAGACAGATACATTGTGTCTTGCTTACTAGAATCTTGGAGCTCTTGTTCTTCTTGAACTTTGGCAACTTCTCATCTTCTTTTACAATTGATGACAGAACACATTCCATTATATTTTACTACAAATACTATGATAATTGAGAGTAAGTCTTCTGCAAGTTCTTCAGTTTCATTACTTTCAGCACTAATATCCATACTGAGTACTACAAGCCAAGTTCCATTTTTCTCAAAGATCCATTCTACAAGCTCAGATCCAAATCAGCACAATTGGTCCTAATAAAAAAAGTTAGTAAAATAATAAAGGCAATAAAAATCAGAGTAAATAAAAAAAATTAAATCTTTTGGGTAATCACTACTTCTTCAATTCTTTCTATGTATATTTGTTCCAAAAAGGCAACAAACCTCCTGCATTTCCAGTTAAGTCCTGATTCAATATCACTGATAATTTTGTATTCTGGATAATATTGTTGAAAATTTGGAATTTGTCGTTCAAGGTTATTTCATTGATGTTCTGAATTGACTTTGACATAACAGATCTTAACCTTTTGTGTGATTTGTGTCTATTGGTTATCTCTAAGGATTTTTTGTATTTCAGTAATTGAATAGAGTCATTTTCTACCAGGTATTTTAACAATAGCAATTTTTTCAGAATCAACCTATCGTCACAATATTTCAATTGAGATGTCATATATCTCTTGAATTTTGTATGTACTTTATTATTCTGAGCTAAGTTGTAAAAAGGTGATTTTATACTTGCACACAAAATTATTTTGAAATCCCAAAATTGCAATTTCAGAGAAAAAAGTCAAAATAGTTTTTCATAGAAGATGAAATTATTTTATTTAAAACTCAAAATTTTTTGATCACCCAGATTTATTTTTTGATTAAATATATACATAACTGGATATTTTTTTTACTTCTATATATAGAATAGATTCTGCATAAATCTCAAAAAGTTGAAATATCTCAAAAATCCAAAATTAATTTTAAAAACATATATAGGTAGTTTTGTTAAAAAAGTTAAAAAATTAGTTTTTGTTAAAAAATATGAGCTACTAATAAAACTGTTATATTGATTTTGAACATTTCAAAATAAACTATACTTTTCATATTACAAATCCATTTGATTATTAATATAGTTTTATGTAAATCTTCATATTTTATATCAAATGTAAAGGAAAAATAATTTTAATAAATACAGCGAGGACGTCGAACACATTTCAACTACAAAAAAAAAATTAATCTCAATTTCTAATTAACGAGTGGATTATAAAAATCCGAATTTTCTTCTAATTGATCTTTGGTACTTCAGGATCAAAAAGTTTATATAACAATATTTAATTTAAAAACAAGATAAAAAAAATTGAAAAATAAAAGGAGGCTCAAGAAAGTCAAAAGTCAAGAAAATAATGACTTAACAGAGCCATAACATTCTTGTAGAATAACTGGAACAAATAAAATTAAGTAATAGAAAAATAATATCTTCTTTTGGAATAATACTATAATAATATCTTCTTGTTAAATAATAACTCAAAGGAGTTGAAACAAATAAGATCAAGTGAGAGAAAGATAATATCTTTTTGTGAAATAATGGTTCAAAAGAACTAGAACAAATGATGGTATAGTGTTTTTTGTAGAATGGCCAGAACAAATAAGAGTAGATAATGGAGGTACAGTAGATTTAGTATTTTTTGTAGAATGACTAGAACATAAGAAGAGGCTTGAGGGAGTCAAGACAAATAAAATTAAGTAATAAAGAGATAATTTCTTTTTGTTAAATAATGATAAGAGCAAGATAGAAGTGTAGTATATTTAGTATTTCTTGTAGAATAACTGGAACATAAGAGGTTCAAGAGACTAAAAGAAAATGTAAATAAAGTTAAAATCACTAGAACATAAGAAGTTTTTTATTATCTATTGTAAAATATATTTAGATTACATAATAAATAGATCGATTTGTTAAATAGTATAATAAAAAATTTTTATTTAATAAATAAATCTAATAAAAGAAAAATAGTATTTTCTTGTGAAGTAATATAGAATTGACTCAAGAGAGTAGGACAAATAAAATCAAGTAAAAAAAAGTAGTATCTTCTCGTAAAATGATACTAGGACAAAGAAACTAGAGTAAATAAGATCAAATAATAGAGGAGTAGTATTTTCTTATGAAATAATACTGAGACAAAATAAAAAGTGATTCAATAAGATCTTGTTAAATAATAGAATATAGAAGGAGGCTCAAGGGAACCAGAACATTAAAGGATTATAGGAGGGCATACAGGTCAAAATCCGTATTTCAGACATATATCGGGGACCAATTGGGTAGTTATCGAAATGGCTGATAGGTAACTGATAGACAACTGATATGTTCCCAATAGGTGTAATATAAATATGTCAGAGATCTATCGGTCACCTAATAAAAATCAGGCACCCGATATATTTTTTAATTTTTTTTAAAAAATTTTTATGTTTCCGATAAGTGTATTAAATATAACTGATATTTATTCTGGTGTCTGATTTTTGTAATATATATCGTGTACATGATTTGTTAAATATATATTAGGCACACAAGTCAAAATCAAAAATATCAGATATATATTGGATATCCAATATTTATAGTTTTTATATTGTGAATAATAAATAATATTTCTCTGTCTGGTACCTGATATTGTTATTAATATCGAATTTCAGGTACCCAATATTTTAAAAAATCATAAATTCATAAATAAAATTATAATAAAAATTTGTAATTCCTGCGTAACTTGATAATCAGTTTTTTTAAAAATTTTTCTCTTTCTTTTTTTTTTTTTAGAAAAATAAATAAAACTTATACTTACCTTATCTCTTACCTTTACCTTTCCTCTCCTCCCTTTACTTTTCCTCTCCTCACCTTTCGCTGGTTTATGGGAATACTTGTGAGATTGAAATTATTAAAATTAGCTTTGCGGACGTTGTTACAGAATGAAAATATAATAATAAAATAATATTAAAAACACCTGCAATAATTTGTAATAACCTTTAAAATAATATTTAGAATTTAATATTAGTT